CCAAAATAAGGAGGGACATTTAAGTGAATCGGGCAATGCTTCTTCAGCTCAATTCCACCTGTGGGGCTGCGGCACTCTGCATTTTGCTCATCCCAAAGCTTGTCTGTGGTTTCCCAGAGTGCTTTCTCTCCCATGTCCATTCCAGCTAGTCCCCATCCGCAATCTCAAGTCTTCATCTCTCTCTGACTTGCTCCTTAAACATCACTCACGTGAGTCCAAGAGTCCAGCCAATGAGATTTCCCATGGGGAAACCTAATATTTATAAGAGATCAAAGATTTAGGCTTATAAGCCCAAACCCTATTTTTGGAATATTAGTCATAAGCTAACCCAGAAAGGAGAAATCACACCAGAGGCTGACTAGGCTTTCTTTTCTAAAAAAAAAAAAAAAAAAAAAAAATAGAGCCAGGTATAGTAGTGTACACCTTTAATCCCAGTACTTGAGAGGCAGAGGAAGGTGAATCTCTGAGTTCAAGGCCAGCCTGGTCTACAAAGCAAGTCCCAGGACAGCCAGAGCTACATAATACTGCCTCCAAAACACAAAACAAAAATCAGTTTGTGCGCCGGCCGTTGGTGGCGCCTTTAATTCTAGAACTTGGGAGGCAGAGGCAGGCAGATATCTGAGTCCAAGGCCAGCCTGGTCTACAGAGCAAGTTCCAGGGTAGCCTCAAAAACAATACAGAGAAACCCTGCCTTGAAAAACCAAAAAAGAAAAAAAATCAGTTTGTGCACATGGTGCGGGGAGGGTTCTGTGCATCTCAAACTTGTTCTTAGAAACCAAGAACAGGGGTTCTTTCATTTTCCAGGTGGGGTCTCAGGGATCAAACTTGAGTTGTCAGTTTTGGTGGCACTCACCTCTGCGCTCTGAGCAATCTCACTGGCCCCCAGCCTAGATTCTTTGGGGTGGCCTTTCTTCTTTTACACAGTCAGCTTCAACTGTGCTTCTTCTCACCAGGAGCCCCCAGACTCTTGTGGGTTGACCAGGTGACCTGGACCTGATGAACTAACACAGGTCTAAGACAAGAGGTCTCCTCTGTCTTAACAGCTCCGCCCACATGTGCCATATGGCCCTTTCAGAGCCTGCTTTCTTCTCTCCAAGATGAGCCAGTTGGTGATACTTCAGATCCTTTTGCTTGGTGTGTTCGGCACTGACAGGTGGAGCTGTGTGGACCTTAGAGTATAAACTCTCATGTGCAAAGCACATGCTGTATCTGAAGTGATTGCAGAGCGCCAAGCCTAGGCACTCATTTGATGGCAATACCCACTTGGTGAGATGCTGTCCCCATTTTACAGCTGGAGAAACTGAAGCTCAGAGAAGTTAATTCATTTGCTCAAAGTCACCGTTCCACTGTGGAATAATATATGATCTCTATACACAGCCATGTGCTTGGGAAGGGCTCTGAGGGGCAGCAGGTGTCAGCTGTGGCCCTATCAAGCTCCATCTAGGATGGTTCTCACATGGCCTGTGGTCCAGGCTGGCTGGTAGCTGGCAGCTCCATGGGGGCTTTCTTATGACGTCTCCAGCATGGAGTCTTCACTTAGCTAGGCATCTTGGGCAGAGGCTGGCTTCTCTCAGAGTGTGGAGCCTGAGCAAACCAGGAGGAAGCACCAGGACCATTCTGACCAACCTGCAGAAGTTCTATATGCTGCACCCCTATCCATTGTTCTACTAATTACAACATAGTCACTTGGATATAAGGGGAGGGGCTTGGACAAACATTGTACACATGTTTCTAAGAGTGGCAAGGAGGCCCCACTAATCAGTAGCAAGGCTGGAATTAGACCCTCCAAAGTTTTGCTCGGATCTGCATGCTTAATTTTCACACATGGCCTGCTTTCAATATTTAGGTTTGGAAATTCCTCTTGAGTCTCTGAGATTTCTTCCCTGGTTCCAGGGCCAAGTCCTGTGACCTCTCACAGTCTCCTCAAATGTGCGTCCCTGAATTAACCTGCCCTGGTGTTAGGAGGCCAGCAGAGCAGTGGAAAAGGCAGCCTATGGAGATGGGCTGCCCCAGGCTCCAATCTCATTCCTTTCCTGTGGCCCCGGGGACATCAGGTCCCCTCTAGAAGTCTCAATTCTTTGTAAAAATGGGCAAGAGAGGTGCTAGGATACCCCCTTCATAAGTTAGCATGAGGGTTCATTCATCCAACCTACAATTAGTTGAATGAGTACCACTTTTTTTTTTTTTTTTTGGCCAGGTAGCCTACTAGGCTCTGGGGTGGGTAGATAGAATGAATAAACAAGAAAAACATCTACCCTCCACAGACAAGCAGTGAAGATTGCTACTAGAGCTACACAGAAAACCCAGAGAGGTCATCCTGGGAGTTGGCCATGAGGGGAGCCTTTACTGCACAAGTGATATTGGAGTGGATAGCCTTGAGAGCAAGCCCTGTGGCTTCCCGGAGAGTGTTTCTGGCAGAAGGAAGAGAAATTCCACTGGGTCTGAAGCCAAGTGAGCCACAGGGATGTGTGGGAGATGAGGACAGAGAGGTGGCAGAGTACACAAAGTTAGGGCCTTGTAGACTTTGGACTCCAACTCTGAATGAGATGACAACCATAAAGATTTGTGGCAGGTATTCTAGGTATATTTTGAGTGTAGAGTAGAGGAATGGAGTCACTGATGGACATGGACACCACACACACACACACACACACACACACACACACACACACACACGAGACTGAGAGAGAGAGAGAGAGAGAGAGAGAGAGAGAGAGAGAGAGAGAGAGAGAGAGAGAGAGAGAACTAAGATGTATGTGTATGAATGCCTAGAAAGAGTGAAGCTCACATTTGCCAAGGCAGGGTGGCTGTATGTGGAACAAGCTAGCTTTCTGTTGCTCTCAAGGTGAGACTATGATTCCAGGAAAGGGAAAGAGGCCCCAGGAATGTCTTCTTTGTGTCAGGTACTCAGCGAGGTGACAGAATGGGAAGGATGGCCCAGGGATCCCCACCTTGCATAAGTCCCTTCTGTTTGACTATGTGTGGAACTAGGAGAATGATCACTGCTGTGATCAAGATATAAGGCAATATAAAGGATAAAGGAGCCAGGCAGTGGTGGTGCACGCCTTTAATCCCAGCACTCGGGAGGCAGAGACAGGTGGATCTCTGTGAGACCAGCCTGGTCTACAAGAGCTAGTTCCAGGACAGCCTCCAAAGCTACACAGAGAAACCCTGTCTCAAAAAAAAAAAAAAAAGATAAAGGAGGGCTGGAGGGCTGACCTGACCCTTGGGGGATAACCAGGTGGGAGTTAGAGATAGCAAAGGGTGAGAAGAGCTTGGCATCTTGTCATTCCTGTGGTGGTTTTGAAGATGGAGACCCCATGTGCAAGGGCCAAAGGGCCATTTGCAGATGTTGAGCTGCCAGCAGACATGGCCTTTGGTCCTACAGCCACAAGTAACTGAATCCCACTGGCACACTGAATGATCATGGAATCAGATTCTTCTCCAGAGTCAGCACTGATAGCCCCACATGGCTAATACTTTGCAAGACTCTAAATAGAGGACCAGGTTGAGCTGTCCAGACTTCTCATCTAGACAGATTGCACACTGATAAAGATCTGTAGCTTTTGGCTATTTGGTTGGCTATGAAGAAACAGAACAAATACACACACCCATTCAGAATGGAAGGATCCTGTTGCCATCACATGGGTGAGGAAATAGATCAGTGAGATGGAAAGGCTTGCCCTAGGCCTCTTGGAAATAAGGGACGGAGCTGTCTTTCTGAAGCCACCTCCGATTGTTGCTTCAAGGAGAGGATGAGAACAGCTAGGAAGGGGAGCCATTTCTGCTGGTAGAGTGAGCTTCCTGTCACTCAGGTAGGGAGGGCAGCAGGGAGTTGCTATTGAGCTTGTCTGTCTATACCCAGGCTCTGGCTCTGGGTGTCTCAGTCTGTGGGTATGTGTCATTCCAGGGACTATGGAATGTGTGCCAGTGTGAGCCTACAGCCATGTCTCAGGATCTTCAGTCTGAGGGTGTCTGCCTCAGAACTAATCCATCCCCATTGGTGACTCAGTCTATATGGCTGTGTCTGTAGGTATGAATGTTCTGACGGTGACTGTCCCAGTTTTTGACATGCAGGTCATCGCGGGAGGAGGGGTGCTGAGTGTCTGAGGTGGTCGTCTGGGACTATGTTCTGTATGTGAGAGAGATTTCCAGGGTGTATGAGGATTTTAAGAGTTGTGTGTCTGTCTAAACTTCCGTGGGGTTTGTGGCATCTGAGGGTCTCCACTGTGTGGGAGGACATGTCCCACCTGTTGCTCCCTGTGACTCTGCAGGGCTCTGTGTACCCTCTGAAGCTGCCAGTTGGTGTATCCCCCGCCTTGTCTCTAGGAGTCTCTGTGTGTCTGTCCAGGTGTCTAGGAGGGTGTGTCTGTCTAGGTGTCCCTCTCCCCCTGTCTCGTCCCCCCCGCCCCCAGTGTGAGGGAGCCCGAGATCTCTCTTCCCAGTGAATACATCCTTGTGGGTCCTTGTGTATCCAAGGGCCTCCGTGTGAACTGGAGTCCTAGGGGGATCTGGCAGGGTTTTTTGGATTTCTTGGACTGTGTCCCTCTCGACACATCTGGGTCTCTGGGTGAGGCCTGCTTGAACCCGGGCCACCTGCCTCTGGAGTGAGACTGAGGACTCACAATCAGGGGTCACAGCGGCCACTGGGGGTTCAGTCGCAGCAGCCTGGCGCACACAGCCTTGTGGCGGGCTCGTGCACC